CCAATAGATAACGAGGCTACCTCATTTTCTATTGCCTGTTAGGTTGTCAATCAAACTCCCTACGTTTCTTGTGTAACTGACTCGTCGGCGAGCGGGGATTACGTGGTTTGTGCAGCGGGTCTTAAAGGCTTTTTTAAACTGTAGGTTCCTCACAGTTCTCACAAAGTTTGTTGAGATGGTGGACGAGAATCCACGACCAGTTCACCGCAAGAGAAAATCAGTTTTTGAGGTCAATGAGAGAAGAAGAGAAGGGGAAACGAAACGAAGCCAAACTGAAGTGATTCTTGGAGATCTTGTCCAGCGATGGCACGAATGAAGCAGACAAAGGGTCTAAAAACTGACGTGTTGGTCGCTAAATTATTTCTAGACAGGTCACTTCAACAGTAATTCTGAACTGGTTGTAAACAAGCGTGTTAGAATGTTGTTTCTTCCTCAAAAACACTTGTGTTTTGTTTCATTCACATGTTTGAGTAACACTTTATTGTTAGTCTGTTTACATCTCCAGAGCTCCAAATGCTCTGCTCCACACTTGCCACGTTTACATGAGACCTTTAACTACCAATAAAACTCGTTTAATTTTGGCTAAAAATTAATTCTGCTTTAAAAAGACCATGTAAACACTTAATTCGTAATGAAAATGATTATTTGGAATTAAACATAATTTCAAAATAAGTGGGTTGTTTACTCTGATTTTGAAGCTGAATTAATTTAATATAATATAATTTTATTATATTTATTGTTTGTTTTTCCCCATTGTTCTTGAGGCACACACATCTCTGTTTATTTGAATTATGGTGGATTGGAAACTTGTCTTATTAGTTTGGTCGTCTACTAGATAACAAGAGCTGAAAGTAGTTTTATTTATTTATTTCTAGTACAATTACATTTTTCTTTACATATCATTATTATTATTATTATTATTATTATTATTATTATTATTATTATTAGTCCTGGTTTAGTCCTGGTTTAGTTCTCGTTTAGTCCTGGTTTAGTCCTGGTTCAGTCCTGGTTTAGTCATGGTTCAGTCCTGGTTTAGTCCTGGTTTAGTCCTGGTTTAGTCCTGGTTCAGTCCTGGTTTAGTCATGGTTCAGTCCTGGTTTAGTCATGGTTTAGTCCTGGTTCAGACCTGATTTAGTCCTGGTTTAGTTCTCGTTTAGTCCTGGTTAATCTTGGTTCAGACCTGGTTTAGACCTGGTTTAGACCTGGTTTAGTCCTGGTTTAGTCCTGGTTTAATCTTTAATAAAGTGACCTTAAAACAAACTAAACAAACTAACCTAATAAAACTAACTACATCGTGCTCCCCCGTTTGCTGAGTCCTGATGGTCTCTTCCGAGGCTCCTCCATCCGGTGTTCAAAAAATAAAAAAATCAGGCTTATATAAACTAAAATGTGTGCGCTCAAATTAGAATATAAGTCTAAATAAAGGAATTAATGTGTAATGCAATCAACTTATTACTCCAGCTGCTGCGCAATTATCATCGGAACCACTGTGGAAAAAGTTTGGATTGTGTTTGTGTCTGCGGCGTAAACAACAAACCGACACCTCTTTCTTTCTCTCTCTCTTTGCTTTCTTCTCTCCTCCTTCATTTTCCTTTTAATCTCCCTCTCCTTCACTCTCTCTTTCTCTTTTCATCCTTCTTTTATTTCTCGTCTCCTCACCTTCTGCTCTCTCCTTCACGGTGTCCTCCTCTCTTCACCCTCCCTCTTCTCCTTCCTCCACCTCTCTTTTGACCTCCTTCTATCTTTCTTTTGCTTTCTCTCTCAGTGTCTTTCTCTCTCTTTTCTCTCCTCCGCTCTCTTGTTTTTCCCTGTACAGTTCACCAAAGCCAAGCACTCTCTGAAATGCTTGTTTATCAACTTTCCGCTCGTCCTCCTCCTCCTCTTCCTCCTAAAAGTCATTACCCAGCACTCTCTCCCTCTCTCCCTCTCTCTCCCTCCCTCTCTCTCTCTCCCTCTCTCCCTCTCTCTCCCTCTCTCTCTCTCTCTCCCTCCCTCCCTCTCCCTCCCTTCTCTCTCCCTCTCTCCTCTCTCTCCCTCTCTCCCTCTCTCTCCCTCTCTCTCCCCTCCTCTCTCCCTCTCTCTCCTCTCTCTCCCTCTCTCTCCCTCTCTCTCCCTCTCTCTCCCCTCTCTCCCTCTCTCTCCCTCTCTCTCCTCTCTCCTCTCTCTCCCTCTCTCTCCCTCTCTCTCCGTCCGTCTTTCTCTCATCTCTTTCTCTTTCTGCCTCCTCGGACTTTTTTCAGAGTGAAGTGAACCTGGCGCTGAGTTGTCAGATGTGAGCGCTCAGCAAACGCACAATAACACTACACACACACACACACACGCACACACGCACATGCACACACACACCAGCAAACGCACACACACACGCACACACACACACACGCACGCACACACACACACACACACCAGCAAACGCACACACACACACACACCAGCAAACACACACACACACACACACACAGCACAAACGCACACACACACACACACACACACACACCACACACACAACACACCAGCACACACACACACACACACAGACACACACCAGCAAACACACACACACAAGCAAACACACACACACAAGCAAACACACACACACACCAGCAAACAGACGTACACACACACACACACACACAGCAAACACACACACACCCGCAAATACACAAGGATAAAGTACAAGAGGCTAAAGTTTGTGTATTTTTGTGTATTTTATCTCATACTCGACTTGACCACCAATTACATTTTTGTTTGTTTTCAACTGAATTTGGATCCAAATCTATTTTTCATTTGAAACGAAAGATCATGACAATTCATAACACACTGTGAAAAATATTATCTAAACGGAATTCACAATATATTCTTGTTTTGAAGAGTTCAGATTTAGTTGGAGTTTATTTTTGACAATTATTAGTGTAAGAATTTTGCTTTGAAACTTCACTTGAAACTAAACAGATGTGAAATAATATATCTGCATTAACAGGAGGAAACTTCAAAATGAGCTGAATTCTCATTGAGTGTGTTCACATGTACTCGAGTATCCTGGTTATGATCAGGTTTTTGAGTATCCTGGTGATGTGAGTGTCCTTCTAGATGCAGTACTCTGGTTTCAGTCTCCTGGATATGACAATATCCCAGTTATGAGAAACCAGGAGATTCTCACTGGGTTTTTCTCAGAGTATTCAGGATCCTGCAGCCTATAGATGCAATATTCTGATTTCTCCAAACTGGAGCTGTACTGAACATGTGCAAACTTAACCATTTAACCATGTTTGTAATGCTCCAAATCCCGTAGGGAGAAGGACAATTACGTCTTTCCTGTTATGGCGCAACAATGGAGGGACCCAAAAAGGGACTTCAGACCG